TGAATGTGCATGTAGCCTGTTTCCCTCAAGATGGTCCAGACATTTTTTTCAAAGAATGGGAACAAGCGGCGGGCATCTTCCCGACTCAGACCAACCAAGAAGGGCAGATAAGGGCCAATCAGGAGGGACAGCAGCACTTTAAACCCTCTTCTTGACAGAATCATGTTTAAATGGAGACCTTTCACACACCTGTATAGCAGATTAAAAAAAAGATTAAGGAAAAAACAATGGGCCTCAGACCTTGCATAGGCAGAAATAATGAGCAACTTTGGGGGGTCCGCCAAACACACATCATTACCCAACATGCACATGGCATTGAAACTATTGAACCCCAGACGGTGATTTTGCATGTACGCTCAACGTGTGTGCAGAGTAACTACATTTCTACGCATTTATTAGTGAATGACGCCCAATGTCAAGCAAATGATCCTGCAATTGCTGTGCTTATTTTAGGAATTTGCAGCATCAGTGTCTATTGCACAATGAATGCAAGCATTGTTCCACACCGAGGCTCCCAATTGTTACCGTGGGAGTAAACAAACGTGTGGGGACAATTCCAGCACGGTGCCACCATATTGTCCACTGCCGAAGCTTGTTTTTGCAAGCTGTCTTACTGAGGTTTCATCTGTGCCATATTTGTAGTGATGAGAGCGCCCCAGTCTCCTCCCTGCAGATAGAACTCCGAGAACCCTAAACGCTCCATCAGCTTCAGGAAAATTCTGGCAGCAGCAAGACTGTTGAAGCCTGCACAGAGGGAGATAGAGTAAAAACATAACGTGCCCTGAATCATCTTTCTACTATGGAGAAATACCTTGTTTATGAGGGGCCTCAGAGAAACCATATCCTGGTATAGATGGGCATATGACCTCAAAGGCGAGATCAGTGTGGCTCTCTGTGAGGAGTGGCAAGATCTTGTAGAATTCAAAGAAAGAGCCTGGCCAGCCATGGACAAGCATCAGCGGGACAACCTTTTGATTCTTTTGTTGAGATGGCCGCACATGGATAAAATGCACGTCTATTCCTGTTGGGGAGAAGAAAAGTTTAAGGAATAATACTGGAGAAATTCATCCAAATTTTTGCTGCCACATGATAAAGAAATAATTACAGTCGTGTTGACATTTTGTTGGATATTTCAACGTTACCATAGTTTACAACTTTCTTTTTTAAGTTTACAACTTTTCTCATAATTTCTGTTTCCTTTCCATTGTAGGGCCCAAATATTCCTTCCAATGTGGTCGCAGTACATCAGATGAATACCTTCGATTTTAGTTTTGAAGTGTGGATACTTGTTCAGCACTGCCACTTGTTTTTTCCAGTCAAACTCGTGTCTCCAGTAGGAAGCCACTTGCTTGAGGTAAATTGAATTGAATCCATACTCAAAGGCACTATCTTCCAGAGGGTCAGTGTAGCGGGTCTTGTCAAGGCGCTCTTGAAGGTCCTGAGGAATTGCCATTGCGTACATGATTTTTGCAGTCTAGGCCACACTTTTATATTTTACCAAACGTGAACACATTAAGTCAACCACCCAATTCACCTTGATTTCATCATCGGAGGTTTGCACCTCAAAAGAATAGATGTTGTCGTCTTCTGACTGTGGTTTCTCGCCTGCTCCCCACCAACCTTCGCCGAGAGGAATAGTTTGGACCTTGTGACTTCTTCTGTGCTGCATGTACAGCAACGCAACGCCTGCTGCAACAGCAGTGCCGATCACAACCTGCTTGTGGAAAGCGTCCAAGCTCAGGAAGGAGTCTCTGCATCATGTGAGCACACGATTTGGTTGATTTCGCGTTGAATCAAATGAAACACTCCCTTGTAGAAGTTTACTTACTTCAAAAAATGTACTCTTTGCATTTTGTTCGTAAAGGTGAACGCCCACTAATGCGCATTGACTTAAAAGGGGAATTTCACAGAACTTCCACAGATTTTGTGAAATGTAAATGAATACAAAATACTAATATTGAGTATCGTATCACCGAATGCAAGACGTTTAAAATGAACCGAATACGAACGTCAGACGTAAAATCCTCGACAAGTTTACTCCCGGAACAAAAACGTCAACAGCCGACAGCCCAAAGAGCTCCGAGAGTGTGCATTAAACGACTTTGATTGGCCCCAAAATGAGCCAATCATATCGCGCGACTCAGCTGTGACGCATTTGTTTATAAAACCGAGAGGAAGACCGGGCCAACCTATATTTTGTAGTCTTGAGTGCGACGAAATACAGAAATATGATTTTAAAGGTAGTCTTCATTTTTCTTGGGGTCGTTTGCGCCGTTGGTCTCGGCAGGCTTGTCGGGGGGCTGACGGATGTGGACGTCAATGAGGAAGGTGTGCAGAATGCCCTCAACTTCGCCATTTCCCAACATAATTTGAAAACGGAGGACCCTTTCCTCAGAGTAAAGACTGGCGTGGTCGGGGTTAAAAAACAGGTAAGTGACGACGTACAGATTACAGTATAGCGACAAATCAGCGCATATTAGATCATTTGTCATTGGAATCTAAACGACAGTTTAGGGAAACAATACCAGTAAATCCTTTTGTGTTTGTTTTCAGATTGTTTCTGGCATCAAGTACGTCATCACCGTCAACATGACGAAGACTAACTGCATGAAGGACGCTCCAAATGAACAGTGCGACGGCCTTGCCGATTCTCCGGTATGAATCGTCATTATTAGTTTTTATTTCTGCACAGCCTTGTTTTTGTTTTGCCTGTGGAGTTGGATCATACGGTATTGATTGCCAAATGTTTTTTTTTACTTGTAAGATTCCTGGTTGCAATTAACCGTATATAGAGTGCTCCGACCTAAGTGTTAAAAATAGTAACCTATCAGCAATACCATGCTGCCGACTATCCTCGCAGTCAACTTGGCCTTTCTTTGCAAACTGGCTGTACCCTTGTAACTGTAAATATTTTGATTAGCTTACGCAACTAGGAGTTTTAAGTGGACTTTGATGCTATGTAG